AAAAAAAAAAAAAAAAAAAAAAAAAAAAAAAAAAAAAAAAAAAAAAAACTTTAAAAAATTATTCTAAACACACTAGAAACACCAATGAAACGAAACGAAGAGAGCATGTGATCGGTTATTATTGTATGAAATCGAGTAGGACAAATAGGAAGATCAAATCTCATACAAAATGACCAACTCAGACGGGATGCTAAGACACAAGTTAATTGGAAACTGGAAACTTATTTATTTATTTATTTATTTTGTAAATTTAAATCCATTGCTAAATCAAAATTGATTTTGAAATGGTTTCTAAATTCATGGTTTCAAACTGGGTGTTAAAAGGATAATTTTGGGATATCAATTATTATTATTATTATTTTTTTTTTTAAAATTGTTTACTTATAATACTATCCTAAAAGCAATATTTGATAAAAATGATTCTCCGTCTCTGCCACTCCCGCCTTCTTCCATCGTTTTCCTTTTCGCCTCATCGGTCTCCTTTCACTGGCCGCTCCGCTAGCGGATCTCAGGTTTGCTTAAATTCATCTTGTTTTTCTTCGATTCAATTGTGTGGATTGTTGTAATCCGAATGATATCTTGGACGAGCTTCTTTCATTTGTTATTGTTCTTCTGAGTCTATAGATTGGCGCCGTTTCCTAGATTTATCTTTAGTTAGGTTATTATCAGCATAATATCTGCGGAGAAGCGGAAATTCTACGTACGAGAATCAGAGGAACGGTGGATTATGGCCAATATCACATCTCTAATGATCTCCATTCGCCAAAACTCACGACTTGTCAAAAACCTTGGGATCCACATCCGGAATCTCTCGGTGGAAATGAATGGAGGCAAAGATGGGTGTGAAGAGATTAATCTGAGTGAGAAATTGTTGAACCCTACTCACTGCCAAGACGTCACTGAGATATCTAAAGAGGTTTGTAAGGTCATCAGGAGCAAACCCAAATGGGAGCAGACTCTGCTCTCTGATTACCCTTCTTTCAATTTCCACGACCCTTCTTTTTTTCGCGAGCTATTGAAGCAGTTAAACAATGTTTTGCTTTCGTTGAGGTTTTTTCTTTGGCTGAGTTCTCAGCCTGAGTTCTTGCCCCATCCAGTCAGCTGTAACACGCTTTTTGATGCCCTTCTGGAGGCCAAGGCTTGTGTTCCCGCTAAATCTTTTCTTCATTCTTTCGGTTTTAGTCCGGAGCCTGCTTCTTTGGAGAATTACATTCGATGTGTTTGCGAGGGTGGATTGGTTGAGGAAGCTGTTAATGTATTTGATGTGTTAAAGGAGGCTGGATATCGTCCATCCATTGAGACTTGGAACTTTGCTTTCCAGAGTTGTCTTAAGTTTGGGAGGACTGATCTTATTTGGAAACTGTATGCAGAGATGATGGAAACTGGTGTGCAAGCGAATGTGGGGATTGAGACTGTGGGGTATCTTATCCAAGCGCTTTGTAGTGATAACAACGTTTCAAAAGCTTATGAGCTTCTAAGACAGGCTTTAGAAGATGGATTAGCCCCTTCTAATGATGCTTTCAACAAATTGATTTCTTTGTTCTGTGAGGAGAAGAATTATGACAGAGTATCAGAGCTTCTTCACACAATGATAGCTAAGAACCGTAATCCCGATATTTTTACCTATCAGGAAATCATTAACGGGCTCTGCAAGAAACACAGGCAGCTGCAGGCATTTCAGGTTTTTAACGGCCTCAAGGATCGGGGTTATGCCCCTGATATGGTCATGTATACAACAATGATTCATGGCCTTTGTAAGATGAGCTGGCTTGGAGATGCTAGAAAGCTGTGGTTTGAGATGATTGATAAGGGATTTCTTCCAAATGAATATACGTACAACACATTGATTTACGGATTTTGTAAGATTGGTAATTTGGATGAGGCCTTGAAGCTATATAAGGAAATGCATGATAGAGGTTATAAAGAAACCACTCTGAGCTGCAACACAGTGATTGCAGGTTTGTGTCTACATGGAAGGACAGACGAAGCTTACAACTTCTTTCGAGAAATGCCTTGCAAGGACGTAGTTTGCGATGTTGTAACATATAATACCCTGATTCAAGGATTTTGCAGAGAGGAGAAGATACTGCAATGCAGAGACCTATTGAAGGAGCTGCTAGAGAAGGGGTTGCAGCCTTCAACTTCCTCTTATACTCATCTCATTCAAAAGCTTTGTCAAGTGGGTGATGTGCAAGAAGCAAAGAAAATGTGGAATGACATGCATAATAGAGGTCTTCAGCCAATGGTGTGCACTCGCGATCACATCATTAATGGATTATGTGAGCAAGGATGTGCGGTAGAGGGGGTGGAGTGGTTGATGACTATGTTGAAGAGCAATCTCAAGCCTCAAAAGCAAACTTTTGATAAGTTGGTTCAGAGTCTCACTCAAATAGGTAAATTAGATGATTCTTTATTGGTCATAGGCTCAATGTTTAGAGTAGGTTATAAACTAGAAGAAGGCACTCTCAGTTGTCTCTTGAATAAACTATGTGAAAACAAGTATCAGTTTGCTGAATCACAATTAGAGGAAATCATAAATTTCAATTAGTAGGAGAATCTATATATGTTCTCAGGAGGCCAGTTTAAGATGTGGTTGTACTCCTGACTAGAAAGTGCGGGGATTGGAAGCTGTTGACCTTGCTTAGAAGTGCCTGTCATCGATGTTTTAAGGTAGATCCAAAGGCTTCTTTGGGTTGTAAATTTGCTCAAGTAGTTGGGGTGGACCATCCATCTGCATGAATATATCCAAGTTTCTTTCAGAGGGCATGGGGCAAATTGATGAACTTTATTACTCATCTTTAAACCGTGTTCTGGATCATGCTTCTTATTTACGCTTGAGGAACTCATTGAAGCTGGAAGCATATGAGAAGGGGTCTTTTCAACCTGAAACCTGTTCTTGCATCGACCAAATAGCCTTTCCAACTCCTCATGTCAGCTGGGAAAAATGAACTCAACTTGATGTGGAAAGAGTTTAGAACCTTGTGTTTTATCAAAGGTATGTTATGTTGTTGTTGGAGTCCTAGGAGCCGAATATTCATTTGAGAGAAGTTGATTTGCAGATTTGCAAACAGTTTTGCAGCTCATTGTTTAGATTTACTCCAGTTCATGGTTACGAGTAATTATCTACAGTGCGTGCTGTGTTATTGCTGAATGTTGATCTAGTTAAATGTTAAATCAGCATCAAAGCAGTACATCTCATATGAATTCTGATTCTAATACAAACTTAATAGACTTCATACATCGTTTCCTTTTTCATGTATTATTGAGCCGTCCCCCTTCCATTTCCGAAACCATTTTCGTCTGTAAACAGCTTCATGATCTTCTGTTGTGGTTTGCAGAACTCTCGGTTATGGCAGGGAAGGTAGGTAACCTCTTCACAACTTGCAGTGTTTGCTTTGCTTTCATTCAGGTGTTCATTAGCTGCAGTTAGAATTTTAAGATGGACGGCAAAACTTTGAAAGAACTATACCATTTGACAGACAGTGACAAATCCTCTAGCAATTTTTTCCCCACTTTCTCTGATTGATCAACTGCTCTTTGCTAAGGCCGATTACCCCTACTTCACAAAATATGTTGGATCATTCTCATCTTCGAAACACAGCTCTCCATGCGTCCTTTTCCACCCACCCACCCACCAAGGGAAGAAAAAGAACTTGTCTGTGAAGCCCATAGTTCAGACAGGCCATCATCATCATCAGGGACATTTACGAGCAATGCCTTAAATCACTGAGGTCGTTAGCTACATCATTACTTCTTCCTTGGTTTTTAGGGTAGCTCAGAATCTGAGGCATGGCCGGATGATCTTCTAACCTTTGGACTCAATACTATAAGCTTGCTTTCAGAATTCATTCGTATAGTACGCCCACGAGGTCTATTTTGCGGAGGCCTTGAAAATTGTTCTTTTGGTATACCTCTTCCTGTGTAATGCAGTCAGCATGAAGTTAGATTTAGAACATAAGAGCATTTTAACCATCTATCAGTTCTAATTTCATAGAACATAAGAGCATTTTAACCATCTTCACATACTACAGTTTGAGAAGCAGGTACATGTTCAAATGCCAGCCTAAATAGTTCGTGCAGGTGAATCGAGGAAGAACGATCTTCTGAATTGAAGATTAAGAGAGTGGTACTTCCTCCATTCTTGCACAACTGTTCATTGTTTGGTCATTTTTATCTGTTAATTCTAAGTGCAGTGTTCAATTAATTTTAGCTTCAGTATTTATAACTTCTGAACCAGAAAGTACTACTGATATTTCAAGAACATAGTACGCAATGGCAATTAACGAAAAGAACCTGCTAGCTTGTTCAGTCTAGTATCAGAATTGTTCTTAGTCAATGAAGGCCTTCTGTTCGTTCCTTCACGTGAAGCTTGTAATCTTTTTATAACGGGTATCGGTGTCGGGAGAGGTTCATCTATTGATGTTGTTGTTTCATCGGAGCCATCGCTGCTTCCTGATTCTGAGGTATCTTTAATGCTGGTACCGTCTTTCTCTTTCTCAACGATTCTGTAAACAAACATCTGAAATGGGATATCTGTAATGGCTGATGAGGCATCACATATTCCGCAAGATGGCAAATTCCTCAATAAACCCGACTCAATGTCACAGTAATCTACTATTGGGGTAGCAGGATCTGTCTGGCTATTATAATCAGGATTCATCGCAACAAAGCGCTTAATATACCGAAGAATCCTACAGATGGACGAGAAGCTTGGCCTTTGATTCGGGTCGGTATGCCAGCATCTCTTTGTCAAGTTGGTCACATATTTTGGCATACTATGTGGAAAAAGTGGCCTCTCCCCTGATCTAATGTTTCGGCTCATTTTGTCTCCTTGAAGATGGCTATCCTCAAAAGGGACTTTCCCTGTCAGAAGTTCAAAACAAACCATGGCAAAGCTATACACATCAGACTTCTCACTATACTTGGAACTCTGGGCACTTCCTGATTGACCCTGTTCTTCCAAAACTTCCGGAGCATACCATATGAACGGCCGGGATTCATTCTGATTAGAAGATTTCTTAAACTCAACAACAGGAAGCCCAAACCCTGAGACCTGAGCATGCACATAGCCATCCGTAGAACAGGCTCTTGGCTTAACCAGAATGTTACAAGGATTTAAATCCCCATGGTAGATCTTCTTTGAGTGCAGATATTCCATTCCTCTTGCAATCTGCAGCATCAAATCAAGAGCTACAGGAAGGGGAAATGGAAATCTCTTACGACTCCCACAAATCTCCTTTATGTAGCTCGACAAATCTCTACTCATAAGCTCCATAATCAAGAAGCACTCCTTCTTTTCCTCATCAGTAAACCCACAAAGAAATCTGGTGATGTTCGGATGAGAAAGAGATAACAGCATGGATATCTCTGGAAGTAAGGTTTGTATTTCCCCAAAAAAGTGCCTCATTGCAAAACTTTCCCCTAACCAGAGAATGTCTTTGTATTTACTCCCACCCCCTAATCTTCTCCTCACCTGGTAGTCCCTTGATCCTACTAGCATTGAGCTTGGCAATAGCTTCCCATTCAACGACTCCGACCCGTCTATGGTCTTCAGAAGATGATCCGTTAGTCGTTGTTCATACTTGGATGAAGCTGAGAATTTCATCTCCCTCATCTTGTTGAGTAGAACCCATCTATCTTCGTTCCAGACCGCGTCGACCCGATTGCAGAAATCTCGAGTAATCAGGTATTGTTTCCCAAATTTCCACTTGAAAGTCTTCAAGTCCTTGTGTTCTCTCCTGTACTTGATGGAGTTGATTAGCCTCTTCTTCAGCATCTCATCTTGATCACACCCAGAATTCTCCCCTGCTGTTTCAATGGCTTCAACCACCACCGCAATGCTGTACAACAAATTGTGAATATGGAATTCGATGCAGTCGGTGTTCTGGTATAGCATAATGGCTTTTGCCCACCTATCTTTTACCTCCAGACACTGCCTAATATACCCTTCTGCTTCTTTGAATACCCTGTTTAGGTCTCTCAATGGCTGCTCCAAAACCTTCCATCTTGTGTGCTTCTCTTCGAAACGGAGATTTTGTTTCATCTCCTCCGCCACTGAATCGTAAGCAAAGCCCAAAACATCGAGCAACAAACAGCACTGCCTCTGGTTTATACGAACGCTATCTTTGAATAGCATGAGTGCCTTCACACTTCCCAAGGCCTCTCCAAGCTGCCGGAATTGCTCCATTTCGGAACCCAACAATATATGGCGATTATAAGTTTTGAGGGGAAATCAATCGGCCGTGTCGATCAATCTCAGATGAAGGGAGTGTGGGAATGGAGCGATGAACATAAGGGAAATGCAGAGGAGCTCGAAACCCGTTGTTCAAAGTGAGAGGGAGGGGAAAGATTGTTGGACCAGAATATGATTTGTTGAAGGGTGTGGATGAATGGATGTGAGAAAGGGAACAGAAATGGGTTATATTATTGAGGGAGGGAGGGAGGGAAGAGAAGGAAGGTTAAGATTGATGTTGGAAAATTGGTTTAGGAAATTGGTAAAGGTCGAAGAATGGTGGAGGATGGCCTGCTTGGGGGGAGTTCTGCCGCGAATATCGATGGCCGTAGTTTGGAATTTGCATTGCACCCCCTTTTATCTTATAATAGTGCATTTTAGCTCTTCTCTTTTCTTTCTTTCCTTTTTATAAATCATTTTCCCCAACTTCCCAAAAATCTTCACATATATATACATATATATAAGCATTCAACCTTTCAACAATAAATTTTCTAACTTCAAACTTTAATAAATGTATCAATTACAATATTAATCGAAAAAAGAATAGGTGACAACTATCATGAAAACGCGACCTCGATCTCAAAAAGTAAGATTCATAAGAAAACAAATGAATAGACATGGGGTATTCTCCACCACCTATTTCATTCTCTGTTACTTGTGAAATTCTCAATTTATTTTTGTAGAGATTGAGGGTATTCTCCATTTATTTTTGTAGAGATTGGGGGTAGATTCACCGTCTATCAAAAATATTTATTTTAAAGTTGTCATTTTTCGTTTATTGAAAATTTGCAAAAAAATATGCATATAATTTTTAATTTTAATATGATATTAAAAAATCTTTACAATTAGAGATTCAAAATTCAGGGTTTTAAGGAGGGCCCAGTAAAAGTCAGGCTTTCAAATATGGCCCAATCTACAGTTAAAGTGGGCAGGAAGCCTAATTACTTTAGTACGCCCAATCACTTTAGTAAGCCCAATCACTTTAGTAAGCCCAATCACTTTAGTAAATCCAATCACTTTAGTAAGCCCAATCACTTTAGTAAGCCCAATCACTTTAGTAAGCCCAATCACTTTAGTAAATCCAATCACTTTAGTAAGCCCAATCACTTTAGTAAGCCCAATCACTTTAGTAAGCCCAATCACTTTAGTAAGCCCAATCACTTTAGTAAGCCCAATCACTTTAGTAAATCCAATCACTTTAGTAAGCCCAATCACTTTAGTAAGCCCAATCACTTTAGTAAGCCCAATCACTTTAGTAAGCCCAATCACTTTAGTAAGCCCAATCACTTTAGTAAATCCAATCACTTTAGTAAGCCCAATCACTTTAGTAAGCCCAATCACTTTAGTAAGCCCAATCACTTTAGTAAGCCCAATCACTTTAGTAAGCCCAATCACTTTAGTAAGCCCAATCACTTTAGTAAGCCCAAGTTTATAGCGGCGTAAGTTAGCATCGGTCTCTTTCAGCCGGAGTTGTGCGCGGTCAGACACAAGAGCTTTAGCTTCCGCTCTCATTTTTACTCCAAAATAGAAAACCAAAATTTCCTTCACATTCACTTTCCCAGTCCTTCCCTTTCCCTCTCTTTCTTCCTCCCGTTTAAAAAGGCTTCCGCGCCACACTCAGATTCTTCATTTTTCCACTTTCCTTTGTTGTCCTTCCCTTTCTACTGCTTAGCCCTAGTTTCCGGAGGAATATGCCGAGAGAGATCATCACTCTGCAAGTTGGACAATGTGGGAACCAGATCGGAATGGAGTTCTGGAAGCAGCTCTGCCTCGAGCATGGAATCAGCAAAGACGGAATTCTTGAAGATTTTGCTACGCAGGTCCCTGCTTTGCTTCTCTTCTTCATATATTGTTGTATTTTTCTTTCAATTAGTTTATGTGTAATTTATTATGCACGTGGATGTCTGTACGAGTGTCAGTGTGCTTGGTTGCTGGGAAAATTGGGGGAGAGATGAGGAAATGGACAGTGTAGGCTGTATGATAATATATAAACATGTTACCGCACTTTTTGAATTTGTTCGTTCAAATACTTTAGAAGATAAGTGGGGGATGGCCTAGTAAGGGTTTTAACAAGCGAGAATTGCATGGTGATTGGGGGATTCATGTGCAATTACCTCCGGTTTGGACTATGCTGGCTTCTTTTGAGTGATTTGTGGAAATGAGCTTACGCGAAGGGGTTGTTGACAGCACTTGGTCACTAGGGCGTCGGTGAAAGAGATGTGTTTAGTTTCTGGCACATCGAATGTTGCAACTTATCATAACTTTGGATCAGATTTCTGGTTTTCATTTTAGCTCTGCTATATAGCTTTCAACATGAATGGTTTTGCTCCAGTTTTACCTGCACCTCAGAGTTTGCTTAAAATGTTTTTTCAGCAATATGTGCTCTCGATTTAAACAGTTTTACCTGCACCTCAGAGGGTTTATGACTTACGTACATTAGTAGTGACTGGGTGACAGTGACTGAGCCTCCCATTTTATCTCAGTCACGCATAAGATACTGCATACATAAGCTGTAAATACATTTCAGTGGAAGGATTTAAACATATTTTATGATATGCAGGGAGGTGACCGGAAAGATGTATTCTTCTATCAAGCTGATGATCAGCACTACATACCAAGAGCTTTACTTATTGATCTGGAGCCCAGGGTCATCAATGGTATTCAAAATAGTGAATATCGTAATCTCTACAACCATGAGAACATCTTTGTTTCAGATCATGGAGGTGGTGCTGGAAATATCTGGGCTAGTGGATATGATCAGGTTTTCTTTTTTCCTATATATTTTTCTTTTTACTTAAAAAATTCTCATTAGAGAAACACACTGATATTCCTTCTATGATCTAAAATTTGTCCACAACAAAGTTAGCATGCCATGCTTAGAATTCTATGCTATCCATGTGGCATCTTACTGACATTGATTTGAAGACACTATCAGGGAAAGGGCGTTGAAGAGGATATCATGGATATGATTGACAGAGAAGCAGATGGAAGTGATAGCCTTGAGGGTTTTGTTCTATGCCACTCAATTGCCGGAGGCACAGGATCAGGTATC